TATCTTTATATACCGTATTCAGCTTTATTTATCTTATTTATCTTTATTTATCTTATTTATTCTTATTTATCTTTATTTATCTTATTTATTCTTATTTATCGTATTTATCCATATTTATCTTTATTTACCTTATTCATCCATATTTATCTTTATTTATCTTTATTTATCTATATTTATCTTTATTTATGGCACCCAAAGGATGTACATGAAAAGGACGGAAGTGGATAAAGAAGAGGAGAAGGAAAAAGGGGAAGAAGAAAATAGAGAAGGAATAGGGGAAGAGGAAAAGACGTGGAATAAAGAAAGTAGTTGAAGAATAACTTGATAACTTCTTAATAAGAATAATGGAAGAATAAATAAAGTAGTTGAAGGGGGGGGGGGGGACACCACATGACCTCGCTTAATATTATCTTATTTCGACAGTTATGTTATTTCGACAGTTATCTTATTTCGACAGTTATCTTATTTCGACAGTTATCTTATTTCGACAGTTATCTTATTTCGACAGTTATCTTATTTCGACAGTTATCTTATTTCGACAGTTATGTTATTTCGACAGTTATCTTGTTTCGACAGTTATCTCATTTCGACAGTTATCTTATTTCGACAGTTATGTTATTTCGACAGTTATCTTATTTCGACAGTTATCTCATTTCGACAGTTATCTTGTTTCGACAGTTAGGTTATTTCGACAGTTAGGTTATTTCGACAGTTATCTTATTTCGACAGTTATCTTGTTTCGACAGTTATCTTATTTCGACAGTTATCTTATTTCGACAGTTATCTTGTTTCGACAGTTAGGTTATTTCGACAGTTAGGTTATTTCGACAGTTATCTTATTTCGACAGTTATCTTATTTCGACAGTTATCTTGTTTCGACAGTTATGTTATTTCGACAGTTATCTTATTTCGACAGTTATCTTGTTTCGACAGTTATGTTATTTCGACAGTTATCTTATTTCGACAGTTAGGTTATTTCGACAGTTATCTTATTTCGACAGTTATCTTGTTTCGACAGTTATCTTATTTCGACAGTTATCTTATTTCGACAGTTATCTTGTTTCGACAGTTAGGTTATTTCGACAGTTAGGTTATTTCGACAGTTATCTTATTTCGACAGTTATCTTGTTTCGACAGTTAGGTTATTTCGACAGTTAGGTTATTTCGACAGTTATCTTATTTCGACAGTTATCTTATTTCGACAGTTATCTTGTTTCGACAGTTATGTTATTTCGACAGTTATCTTATTTCGACAGTTATGTTATTTCGACAGTTATGTTATTTCGACAGTTATGTTATTTCGACAGTTATCTTATTTCGACAGTTAGGTTATTTCGACAGTTAGGTTATTTCGACAGTTATCTTATTTCGACAGTTAGGTTATTTCGACAGTTAGGTTATTTCGACAGTTAGGTTATTTCGACAGTTATCTTATTTCGACAGTTAGGTTATTTCGACAGTTAGGTTATTTCGACAGTTAGGTTATTTCGACAGTTAGGTTATTTCGACAGTTAGGTTATTTCGACAGTTATCTCATTTCGACAGTTATCTCATTTCGACAGTTAGGTTATTTCGACAGTTAGGTTATTTCGACAGTTAGGTTATTTCGACAGTTAGGTTATTTCGACAGTTAGGTTATTTCGACAGTTAGGTTATTTCGACAGTTATCTCATTTCGACAGTTATCTCATTTCGACAGTTAGGTTATTTCGACAGTTAGGTTATTTCGACAGTTATCTCATTTCGACAGTTAGGTTATTTCGACAGTTAGGTTATTTCGACAGTTAGGTTATTTCGACAGTTATCTTATTTCGACAGTTAGGTTATTTCGACAGTTAGGTTATTTCGACAGTTATCTTATTTCGACAGTTATCTCATTTCGACAGTTATCTTATTTCGACAGTTATCTCATTTCGACAGTTAGGTTATTTCGACAGTTAGGTTATTTCGACAGTTAGGTTATTTCGACAGTTAGGTTATTTCGACAGTTATCTTATTTCGACAGTTATGTTATTTCGACAGTTATCTCATTTCGACAGTTAGGTTATTTCGACAGTTAGGTTATTTCGACAGTTAGGTTATTTCGACAGTTAGGTTATTTCGACAGTTAGGTTATTTCGACAGTTATCTTATTTCGACAGTTATCTTATTTCGACAGTTATCTCATTTCGACAGTTATCTCATTTCGACAGTTATCTTATTTCGACAGTTATGTTATTTCGAGTTATCTTATTTCGACAGTTATCTTATTTCGACAGTTATCTCATTTCGACAGTTATCTTATTTCGACAGTTATCTTATTTCGACAGTTATCTTATTTCGACAGTTATCTCATTTCGACAGTTATCTTATTTCGACAGTTATCTTGTTTCGACAGTTATCTTATTTCGACAGTTATCTTATTTCGACAGTTCGGACGACGTGCCCGAACCGCTGCAGTCGCGGTCGGATTGTGCAAACCACTAGTTACCTCAGGCGGCATAGGCTCACAAAAGGCCTAT